CAATATTCCCCTGGCTATTCGGGGTCTTTTCCAATTCCACACACATCTTAAGATGATTTGTTACAACTCTCTGAAGAAAGTCCATGGTATTTTGATAGGGATTGCATTGAACATGTACATTGCCCTGGGTAGCATAGACATTTTCACAATATTAATTCTTCCAATCCATGAGCATGGAATATTTTTCCATCTCTTTGTGTTTTCCTCAATTTCTTTCAGAAGTGTTCTGTAGTTTTTATGGTATAAATCGTTTACCTCTTTGGTTAGGTTTATTCCTAGGTATCTTATGCTTTTGGGTGCAATTGTAAATGGGATTGACTCCTTAATTTCTCTTTCTTCCATCTCATTGTTAGCGTATAGAAACGCCACTGACTTCTGGGCATTGATTTTGTATCCTGCCACACTGCCGAATTGCTGTATGAGTTCTAGCAATCTTGAGGTAGAGTCTTTGGGTTTTCTATGTACAGTATCATGTCATCTGTGAAGATGGAAAGTTTGACTTCTTCTTTGCCAATTTGAATGCTTTTTATTTCTTTTTGTTACCTGATTGCTGAAGCCAGGACTTCTAGTACTATATGTTGAATAGCAGTGGTGAGAGTGGACATCCCTTTATGTTCCTGATCTTAGGGGAAAGGCTCTCAGTTTTTCCCCATTGAGAATTATATTTACTGTAGGATTTTCATAGATGGCTTTTAAAATACTGAGGAATGTTCCCTATATCCCTACACTCTGAAGAGTTTTGATCAGGAATGGATGCTGTATTTTGTCAAATGCTTTCTCTGCATCTAAATAGAGAGGATCATATGGTTCTTGTTTTTTCTCTTGTTGATGTGATCTATCACACTGATTGCTTTATATGAGTGTTGAACCAACCTTGCATCCTGGAGATAAATCCCACTTGGTCATGGTGAATAATCTTCTTAATGTATTGTTGGATCCTATTGGCTAGTATCTTGTTGAGAATTTTTGCATCTGTGTTCATCAGGGATATTGGTCTATAATTCTCCTTTTTGGTGGGGTCTTTGTCTGGTTTTGGAATTAAGGTGATACTGGCCTCATAGAACAAGTTTGGAAGTATTCCATCTCTTTCTATCTTTTGGAACATCTTTAGTAAAATAGGTATTATTTCTTCTTTAAACGTTTGATAGAATTCCCCTGGGAAGCCATCTGGCCCTGGACTTTTGTGTCTTGGGAGGTTTTGATGTCTGCTTCAATTTACTCACTGGTTATTGGCCTGTTCAGGTTTTCTATTTCTTCCTGTTCCAGTTTTGGTAGTTTGTGGTTTTCCAGAAATGCATCCATTTCTTCCAGCTGCTCATAATATGTTTTTTAAATAAAATCATTTGTATTTCCTTGGTATTTGTATTTTCCTTGGTATTGATTGTGATCTCTCCTCTTTCATTCATGACTTTATCAATTTGAGTCTTTTTTTCTTTTTAATAAGGCTGGCTAATGGTTTATCTATCTTATTCTTTCAAAGAACCAACTCCTGGTTTCGTTGATCTGTTCTACAGTTCTTCTGGTCTCTATTTCATTGAGTTCTGTTCGAATCTTTATTATCTTTCTTCTTCTGTTTGGTGTATGTTTTACTTGCTGCTCTTTCTCCAGTTCCTTTAGGTGCAAGGTTAGCTTGTGTATTTGAGTTTTTTCCAATTTTTTGAGGGAGGCTTGTATTACAATGTATTTCGCTCTTAGAACCACTTTTGCTGTATCCCAAAGATTTTGAACGGTTGTATCTTCATTTTCATTAGTTTCCATTACTCTTTTTAATTCTTCTCTAGTTTCCTGGTTGACCCTTCCATCTTTTAGCAGGATGGTCTTTCACCTCCACATGTTTGAGTTTCTTCCAAATTTCTTCTTGTTATTATGTTCTAGTTTCAAAGCATTGTGGTCTGAAAATATGCAGGGGACAATTCCAATCATATGGTATCAGTTGAGACCTGATTTGTGACCCAGTATGTGGTCTATTCTGGAGAAAGTTCCATGTGCACTTGAAAAGAATGTGTATTCAGTTGCATTTGGATGGAAAGCTCTATATATATCTGTGAAATCCATCTGGTCTAGTGCATCATTTAAAGCTCTTGTTTCTTTGGAGATGTTCTGCTTAAAATATCTGTCATTTGCAGAAAGTACCGTGTTGAAGTCTCCTACTATTAATGTATTATTATCTAATATGTCTTTACTTTGGTTATTAATTGATTGATATACTTGGCAGCTCCCACATTCGGGGCATAAATATTCATGATTGTTAGGTCCTCTTGTTGGATAGATCCTTTAAGTATGATTTAGTGTCCCTCTTCATCTCTTACTACAGTCTTTGGGATAAACTTTATCTGATATGAGGATTGCTACCCAAGCTTTCTTTTGAGGACCATTTGAATGGTAAATGGTTCTCCACCCTTTCATTTTCAGGCTGGAGGTGTCCTTAGGTCTAAAATGAGTCTCTTGTAGACAGCAAATAGATGGGTCTTGTTTTTATTATCCAGTCTGAAACCCTGCATCTCTTGATGGGATCATTTAGCCCATTCATGTTCAGAGTACCTATTGAAAGATATGAATTTAGTGTCATTGTAATACCTATTCTTTCCCTATTTTTGTGGATTATTTCTTTGGGCTTCCTCTTTCTTTTACAGAGTCCCCCTTAATATTTCTTGCAGAGCCAGGTTGGTAGTCACATATTCTTTTCAGTTTCTGTCTATCTTGGAAGCTCTTTATCTCTCCTTCTATTCTGAATGACAGCCTTGCTGGATAAAGTATTCTTGGCTGCATGTTCTTCTCATTTAGGACCCTAAATATATCCTGCCAGCCCTTTCTGGCCTTCTAGGTCTCTGTGGAGAGGACTGCTGTTAATATGATATTTCTCTCCATATAAGGTAGGGATCTCTTATCTCTCACTGCTTTAAGGGTTTTCCCTTTATCTTTGGAATTTGCAAGTTTCCCTATTAAATGTAGAGATGTTGAATGACTTTTATTGATTTGGGGGGCACCTTCCTATCTCCTGGGTCTGAATGCCTGTTTCCCTCCCCAAATTAAGGAAGTTATCATCTATGGTTTGTTCAGATATACTTTGTGGCCTTCTCTCCTTCTTGGCATCTTCTGGAATCCCAATTATACATAGATTCTTCCTTTTAAAAAAAAATATTTTATTTATTTATTTATTTATTTATTTATTTATTTATTTATTTATGAGATACACAGAGGGAGAGAGAGGCAGAGACACAGGCAAAGGGAGAAGCAGACTCCCTGCAAGGAGCCCGATATGGGATTCGATCTTGGATCCCAGGATCACGCCCTGAGCCCAAGGCAGATGCTCAACCACTGAGCCACCCAGGTGTTCCTAGATTCTTCCTTCTGAGGCTGTCATTTATTTCCCTTAACTTTTCCTTGTGGTCTCTTGTTTTTCTCTTTTTTTCCTAAGCTTCTTTCCTTACCATCAACTTGTCTTCTATGTTGCTCACTCTTTCTTCCACCTCATTAACCCTAGCTGTTAGGACATCTAGTTTGGATTTCATCTCACTAATTTATTTTTAATTTCGGCCTGATTAGATCTCCATTTTGCAGTAACAAAGTCTCTAGAGTCCTTTATGCTTTTTTGCAGAGTCACCAATAGCTTTATAATTGTGCTTCTGAATTGGCTTTCTGACATCGAATTGAAAGCTCCAATACTGACCACCAAAACATATACAAGATAGAAGAAGGGGGCAGAATGGGAAGGAAGAGAGAATATAATCTCACAGAATGAACCAGCATGGTATTTCACTTGGTTCTGAGTGTATGTTAGTCATGTTTTAGACTGTGGGTCTAAACTGGGTAACTTCCACCATTGCAGAACAAAGAGAAAACAAAAAAACACAAAACAAAAACACATATCTTGTATATCTCCCAAAATTAATTTGAATATGTTGAAAGGAATCCAGAAGTGAAAAATATATCTAAGACATGTAATTGTAGAAATTTGAAAGTCAAAAAGGAAGAAACTTAAAAATGAAGAGTTGGTAAAATATTGTAGTTAAGGTGGGTAAAAGCAAAAAATATTGGAGATTTTTAGTCTGATATAAAAATGAGTTGTATAGAAAAAGGGGAAAAAATTTTAAAAAGAAAAGAAAGGAGGGGTACCCTCTAGTTCTATATACTATGTTCTCTCGATTTTCCCCTTGGTCCTGGAGCTTTCCAGCACTGATGGGTCTAGAACTTGCTCTTCCCCTGTCCTTCCAGCGGGTCTTCTGGGGGAGGGGCTGCTGTGCTGATTCTCAGGGGTGTGCATCTGAGGGACCTGCCCCCCCACCCCTCCCCCGCCGGGTGCTGGGCTCAGTGGGAGCTGTTGACCCCATGAGGCCCGTGTTCCCTGGCGGCCCCGCCCCTCCCAGGCACAGGGTGACACCAGGAGGAACAACACCCCTGGGGGCGGCCAACTCTCCAGACCTGGAGTCAGCTCCCCCAGTAACTACCACGGTCTCCCAGTCCACACTGGCCTAGGCGCAGGGCGGGGGAGGGTGCTGACCTGCACAGCTCGGGGGTGCGGGGGGGGGCAGGAGCCTCCGACGTCCTGTGCCCTCCCCGCCTCCGCCTGCCGGGGGCGCAGCGCAGGATCCTGGGCTGTGTCTCCTCTCCCTGCCCTGGGATCCGGGCCTGCGGCTGGAATCCTGCTCCGGGCCACAGCTCCTGGAGGCCGCAGGCACAGCGCCCCCTCCCGGAGCCCCCCGACCCCGGCTGCTCCCCAGGCCCCGCCCGCTCCAGCCCGTTACCGAGCTTGCCGGTGTGGGTGCGCTCTCCCCGGGTGCCTGCTCTCCTAGTGGCCCCGGGAGGCTGGAGGTGCCTGCGATCCTGCCCGGTTTGCCTGCTGAGCGCCTTTCCGTCGGGGAAGAATCGCGGATTTTGAAGGTTCCTGCTTCTCCGGGGGGGGGGCTCTCTGGTCCCCGAGCTTCTGCCCCCTTATCCCGGCTCCTCACGGCCCCTCCCCCACTGGATTAGTTTTTATTTATTTTTTTCCTCCTTCCTACCTTGTTAGAAGCGAAAACCCGTCTCTCTGTAGCATCAGGCTGTCCTCTCTTTACATCTCAGGTCGGATTCATAGGTTTTCAGGGTGGTTTGAAAGTTATCCAGGTGAGTTGGGGGGACCAGGTGAGGTGAGGACCCTGCTCCTCCGCCTTCTTGCCCCGCTTCTGGATTTTTGTTTTAAAATAATAATGAGTGACCATAATAGAAAATTATTTTTCTGTGATAGGATTACACTAAAATTTTCAAAGATTTTCCGTGTTAAGAAACAATAAAAAACACATGGTTTTTATTATTACTATAATGCAATATATTATGATAAGGTTATATAATTCAATACCATGTAAAAATGATCTCTACCATATAGACATTTGTGAACAGAAACCTTAAATTAATATTAATTTTAAGAATTATTTAGAAATTGAAATATATGTGCTAGAAATATTTAAAATTTACATTTATTATTTTTTCCAACTCTTCTTAGATATAACTGATACATAACATTGAGTAAGTTTAAGATGTACAAGCTGATTTGGTATGCACAAATGTTGTGAAATGATTACTACAATAAGGTTACATCTCAGTTATATTTTTGTGTGTGGTGAGAACTTTAAAAACTTTAAAAATGTTTAAATTTCTTAGCAATTACAGGTATATAATACATGATTATTAAATATAGTCACCATGCTGTATATCACATTCCCAGAATTTATTCATCTGATAATAGGAATTTCATACTTTGAACACATTCACTCATCTCCCACACACCCTTGCTCCAGTGACCACCGATCTACAATCTGTCTTTATGAGTTTCATTTTTTAAATATCCATATACGAGATTATATAATATTTACCTCTCTCTATTTGACTTATTTCAGTTAGCACAATAACCTGAAGTTTTGTCCATATTGTTACAAATGACAAAAGTTCCTTCTTTTTTATGGTCTAGTAACACACACACACACACACACACATCACATATTTATCCATTCATTGACAGACACTTTGGTTGTTCCATGTCTTGGCTATTGTAAATAATGCCACAGTGAACATGAGGGTGCAGTCATTTCATTTCCTCATTTTCAAGACAGACATTTCATTTCCTCCATATTGTTTTCATAGTAGCTACATCATTTTACAAGCCCACCAGCAATGCACAAGGATCCTAATTTCTGTATCTCCTGGCCAACAGTGGTTCTTTTCTCTTTTATTTGTTTACCTTGTAAAAAAAAACAAGTCATCCTAATGAGTGTGAAATATTAGCTCATTATGGTTTTCATTTGCATTTCTGAATAATGACTGATGAGTTAGTTATCTTTTCTTTACATCTTTCTACATATAAGATCATATCAGCTGCAAACAGAGCCAATTTTACTTCTTCCTTTTCAATTTGGATGTTGTTTATTTCTGTTTCTTGCCTCACTGCTCTGGCTAGGGCTTCCAGTAATAGGCTGGATGAGAGCGGTGATAGTAGGGCCCCTTTGTCTTAGTCTGGATCTTAGAAGGAAAGCTTTCAACTATTCACCACTGAATATGATGTTAGCTGTGGGTTTGTAACACAGGGCCCTCACTATGTTGAAGTGCACTCCATCTATACTCAATTTGTTGAGAATTTTTATCATCAAAGGATGTTGAATTTTGTCAAATGCTTTTTCTGTATTTATTGAGATGATCATATGAGTTTTACCTTTCTTTCCATTAATGTGATCTATCACATTTGTTGATCTGTTGTTGATATGTTGAACCATCATTGTATCCTAGTGATGAAGTTCACTTGTCGTGATGTATGATTCTTTTAATGTGCTGCTGAATTCAGTTTGCTGGTATTTTCTTGAGAATTTTTGCAAGGATATCCATCAGAGATATTGCTCTGTAGTTCTCCTATGTCTTCATCTGGCTTTAGTATCTGGGTAATTTCACCACAGAAAATGAGTTTGGAAGAGTTTCCTCCTCTTCAATTTCAATTTTTTGGAGGAGTTTGGGAAGAATTGACATTAATTCTTTAAATGTTTGGTAAAATCCACCTGTGAAGCCATCTGGTCCTGGGATTTTCTTTGTTGGGAGGTTTTTGATTAGTGACTTGATCTCCTTACTCACTATTAGTTTGTTCAGATTTTCTATTTCTTCATGATGTACTCTAGATACATTGTGTGCTTTTAGAAGTTTATCCATTTATTCTAGGCTGTCCAATTTGTGGTGTCAAATTTCTCATATTAGTTGTTTATGATCCTTTCTATTTATGTGGTATCAGTTGTATTGTCTCCTCTTTCATTTATAATAGCTAAAGAATTGTTAATTTTGTTTATCGTTTCAAGGAGCCAAACTTGGGGTTTTTTTTCTACATTTTCTATTGCTTTCATATTCTCCATTTCATTTATTTCTGCTCTGATTTTTATTTTCTCCCTTCTGTTAATATTGTGCTTAAATTACTTTTCTTTTAGTTCCTTGAGGTGTAATGCTAGACTGTTTGCTTGAAACTTTTCTTTTTTCTTCATATATACATTTATAGCTATACTTTCTTCTAAGAACTGCTTTTGCTTTATTTCTGAAGTTTTGGTATGTTGTGTTTCCGTGTTCATTTCCCTTAAGTTAATCTTGTTCCTCTTTTGTTTCTTTTTTGATCCGTTGGTTGTTCAAGGGTGTGATGTTTATTTTCCATCTATTCAAGAATTGTCCGACTTTCTCCCTGTGATTGTTTTCCATTTTCATACCACGATGATCAGAAAAGATACCTAATATAATCTCAATCTTATTAAATGAACTGAGTCATTTTTGTGGCCTAACACACAATCTATCTTAGAAAATGTTCCAACTCTCCTTGGAAGCATGTGTAATCTGCTGCTCTTGGATGGAATGTTCTGTAAATATCTGTTAAATTTTATTTGGTCCATAGCATTGTTCAAATCCACTATTTTCTTATTGATTCTCTGTCTGAATGATCTATCCTTGTTGACAGTGTGTTATTAAAGTCACCAACTCTTATTGTATTGATATTTATTTCTCCTTTTAACTATGTTAGCATTTGTTTTATATATTTAGGTGCTTCTATATTAGGAGCATAAATATTTATAATCATTATATCTTCTTGAAGCATTGACCACCTTTGCATTATATAATGGTCTTCTTTATCACTTGTGACCATTTCAAGCTTAAAATCTATTTTGTCTGATATAAGTATTTATTACCCCTGCTTTCTTTTGGTTATCATTGGCTTAAAAGACTTTTCTCCACCTTTTTACTCTAAGCCTGTCTGCATCCTTAAAGCTAAATTGAGTTGCTTGTAGGCAGCATATTGGTGGATCTTATTTTTTCCTCCATTCTTCCATTCATTGTCTTTTAACTGGAGATTTAATCTGTTTATATTTAAGGTAATTATTGGTGGGTAACAACTTACTATTGCCATTGTGTTCATTGTTTTCTGACTGCTTTGTAGATCCTTTATTACTTCCTTTCTTATTCTCTTCCTTTATGAAATGATGACTTTTTGTGTTGTTATGCTTTAACTTGATTCTCTTGTCCTGATTTTTGTGTATCTTTTTTTTTAAGATTTTATTTATTTGTTCATTAGAGACACAGAGAGAGGCAGAGACATAGAGGAGAAAGCAGGCTCCTCGCAGGGAGCCGGATACAGGATTCGATCCCCCAAACCGGGATCATGCGCAGAGCCTAAGGCAGATGCTCAACTGCTGAGCCATCCAGGTGTCCCTGACTTTTGTGTATCTATTATAGGTTTTTCTTTTGTGGTTACCATGAGGTTTCATTAAAAATCTTACTGTTATAACATCCCACTTTAACCTGATAACAATTAATTTCTATAGCATATAGAAAACATATACTTTTACTTCTTTCCCTCCCATCACATTGTAGGCTACTGATGTTACAGTTTACATCCTTTGTATGTTGTGTATACAATAATAAATTATTGCAGTTACAGTTATTTTTAGTATGTTTATTCTTTTAACTTTCAAACTATAATTGTAAATGATTTACGTACTATTACCAGTTAGAGAATCTGATTTAATGACATATTTACTTTTACTGATAACTTTTATAAGTTTGTTTTTCCAATGCTAATTAGCATCAATTCAATTTAACTAGTAGAACACTGTTCGATATGTCTTATTTGGCAGACCTAATGATGATAAACTCCCTCAGTTTTATTTGTCTGGAAAAGAATTTTTCTCTCATTTCTGAAGGACAAGTTGGCTGGGTATACCATTCTTTTTTTTTTTAATTTTTTTTATTTATTTACGATAGTCATACAGAGAGAGAGAAAGGCAGAGACACAGGCAGAGGGAGAAGCAGGCTCCATGCACTGGGAGCCCGATGTGGGATTCGATCCCGGGTCTCCAGGATCACGCCCTGAAGCCAAAGGCAGGCGCCAAACCGCTGCGCCACCCAGGGATCCCTGGGTATACCATTCTTGGTATATAGGACTTTTTTTCTTTTAATATTTTGAATAAATCATGTCACCCTCCCTGGCCTACAAAGTTTCTGTTGTTAAATTATCTGAAGGTGTATCCATGTATGTTATCAGTTGTTTTTCTATTGCTTTCAATTTTTCTCTTTTTATTTGACTTTTGACAATTGACTTACAATATGTCTCAGTTTAGGCCTTTTAGGATGGAAACTTTTGGGAGTGTTTTGTGCCTCATAAATCTGATGTGAATTTCTTTTCCAAAGTTTCAGAGTTTTTCCATTGAAAACTTAGTTTTCAATAGTTGAAATAGGTTCATTTCTCCTTTCCCCTTCTCTTCTCCCTTATAATTTTATAAAAATTATAAAATAATTTTTATTTATAAAAAATAAATTTATTTTATTTTGCTGATGTCCCATAAGTTCTTTAGGCTCTCTTCACAGTGTTTCACTCTTTTTTTTTTCCTTTTGCTCTCCTGACTGGATAATTTCCAATAGAAATTGGAAATTGAATTTTCTTCTGCTTTTTGAAATCTGCTATTGAAGCTTTCTATTGAATTTTTCAGTTCAGTCATTGTGTTCCTAAGCTTTGGTATTTCCACTTAGCTTGTCTGATGATTTCTATTTCTTTGTTAAAGTTCTCATTTTGTTCATGAATCTTTTTCCTAATTTCACTTAGTTGTCTGTATATTCTTGTAGTTCACTGAATTTCCTTGAGACAATTTTCCTAAAGTTTTTTTT